AATTGTGACTTGAAAAAAAGAAACATCTCCATCAGTGACTGAGTACACAAAAGTTAGAGCTGGGTGAATAATTCTTTCTAATATATTTTGAGAATTTTTTTGTTTTCATCCAAGCGTTATTCAGGATATATTTTTCCATTATTCTGCTAGCTTTCTTGCAAATGAGCTGTTATTAGTATGACTATTTGTCTCCCTGGATGGAAATTGCAGGATATGTTCAGCTCAGAGCCTGTGAGAAAGGCAAGTTCACCATGTGGTCGGTGAAGTGGTGCCTCTTTTGAGTTGGACCTTACCTTGCAGAGGGAAGAGATTTTTCCAAAGCTGGCTGTCATATGCATAGATAGGCAAGATTCCTCTTATCCACCCACAGATGTGCTCCTCTAATGAGCTGCTTCTGTTTCTCTCCTGTACTAGGGATTCATGGATATTGACCTGACCAAATTCAAGGAGAGCGGAGCCAACGTAACTGGCTTCCAGCTGGTGAATTACACAGATGCTGTTCCCGCCAGGATCATGCAGCAGTGGAGGAATAATGATGCCAGGGAGCATCCTCGTGTGGACTGGAAGAGGCCAAAGGCAAGTGGTATAAAAAAACCATTTAATTTAGGGTCCATCTGGTTCAGTTCAAGTTATGCTCACCTCTTTGTGATCACACAGAGCTCTTTAATCTCGCTCTGAAGACCTGTCACTTAATATAATTATGAACATTAACTCTTCCAGGTGCCCCAACATTGTCTAAATTTTACTAGGCAGTAGTTGCTGCCTGCTAAGAAATACACAAGTTAGTGTATTCACCCAGTCTCCCAGTTTTCACCCTCCTCAAAGCTAAGGATTAAACATCTCGTAATGTTCAGTATATGAAAAAGAAAAAGCGTCCTTAACTCTTTAACCTTTGACTTGTTTATTACATATCCAGTGATAATAAAGTCTTTCCAGATGTTCTTTCTGAGCATTTCAAATCAGTGTGTACAACAGAGGGGAAATACATTTTAATTCCTAACACAGTCAGAAGACTCTGAAGCTGTCAAGGACAGGGCGGAGGGGGGAGGTTGGGTTTTTTCTATCTGACATTTGAAAACAAATACACTTGTGACAAACACTCAGCAATAGAAATGTCAACTTTGGAAGTATTAGTTTAAGAAAGTTGCAAACAAATAAATCAGTAGGTGATCATAGGAAAAGGAATTAACTGTAATGGTTACCATCCATGACAAGAGTTTGACACTGGTTTCTGTACAAGATTCTGCTTGAATAAACTCATCTTTTGCAGAATTTTTTGCACGTTGAAGTGGTGTTTCCTGGTCTCCATCTGTGACCAGGAAGAGTCACTTGTTGCTTGATTTCGTGTATCTCACATTTACACTGTATAATGTATTCCTTAAAAGTTCAGGTCAGTGATCCTAATTAAACACAAAGACTTGGGTATCAGGTGAATGGCTTTTAAGGCTGTGTCCTCTTTAGGGAGTGCAATCTGAATCCGCATCAGGAGCTTCTCCTTCACTCTCCCATCCTCTGGGAGAGAAGGCACCAACTTTCATGAGTCAACAGGACAGTAGTGATTACAGGGAGCAAGAGGCTGTTGAACTTCAAAGATGGAAGGATGAAAACAGGACAAATAATCTGAAAAGTTGCCATGAGGCAAACCAGCGTAGCACGCCCGAGGTCAGCTCACCCTAACAGGCAACATACAACTCCTCTTCTCTTTCTAGTACACATCAGCCCTAACGTACGACGGGGTCCGAGTGATGGCCGAGGCGTTTCAGAACCTGCGGAGGCAGCGGATCGACATCTCCCGTCGTGGCAACGCTGGGGACTGCCTTGCCAACCCAGCCGTGCCCTGGGGACAAGGCATCGACATCCAGAGAGCGCTGCAGCAGGTTTGAAACCCAGCCAACATGTGCACTGCAGGAATGGCTGAATGTAGCCTGTGGGAGGGGGAAGAGGGGCGATTAGCAGCAGAAACACTCAAACAAATCGCTTGGGATGAGGAATTGATCCCTCCAAATTCCAGCCAGGCCTCCTAAAGAATTCAGGGGTGCATCCAGAAGACTGCTTCTCCTGGTACCACCCGATGTGTCCTTGCCCTCTCTAATTTCTGTTGTTGTGTTCTAGGATGGAAAAGCCAAAATATTATCCCATAAATTCATGGGTCCCTATTTTTATCTTCCCCTTCCCAAGAGAGAGACCTGCTCAGACCATATTTTTTGCAGCTCCTTCGACTCTCTGTGAACTCGACTTCAGTTCCAGAATGCTAATGAAGTTTGAAACCATGTGAATTTTGCCTTATGAGTTGGCTGTCATCAGAATGTTCTCAGAGCCCAGATTATAGCTTGTCTCATACTGTGAGGATTTGTAAAAGTCTTAATAATAGCCATTTAGGTAGTTTATTCCTTAAATCTGATAATCTTGCTTTTTCATCCTGCATGAAAATTTAGGGTTTTAAATAAACAAAATAACTACATGAAAATTACAGCAAGAGATAAACAATACACTCTTACCAAAGACTTAGAAAGGTAGAACATTTCAAAACTTCATTAAATTTCAAGAATGATGCTCATTTCTAGCATTTTTTTTCAGACAAAAATAGATGGGTTCCTTGCAAATACTGCTAGTTCAGTGTTATCCAAATATAGCTTATCCCATCTTCTTTCCTCAACTGTGAAGGCAGCAAGAAGAACAAAATTAATTTTGTTAATTTGCATCATATGTAAATTTCACCAAGTATTTTGTTTTGATTTGGTTTTGGCTTACTGGTAAAGAACACTTCCTTTAAAACCAAATCTTGCATCTGATTTGATTTTATTGCTTGGATTCAATTTGTTCCCAAGCCTGTCATTGACTTTCTGTATGACCTTGGGCAAATCACTGTCATAGCTTCTCCAAACCCTTATAATAAAATCAGCCTCTTTGATGCATTAGGGAGATCGGTTACCTAATAAACATGAAATACTTGGAAGTCTTCTGATGAGCAATGGGTTCTCAAGCATTTTCCTTTATTGAATTTATGAGAATAGGATATCAAAATTAGACAGCTAGAAAATACAATTTTGTGTGTGTGTTGGAAAATTTCCTCTGAAGTTTCCTCATCTCTTCATTAAAATAATTTCAAAACTCTTAATTTTTCAACTGTGGTGATTTTGGGCAAAGAACATGAAGACCTATTTGCAAAAGTTATTCCTTTACCATTGAAAAATTATACTTTTCAAAAGGTTTGACCAGTTCTGTTGTGATGGTCAAAATAAAAGGCTCTGAAACATGCAGTGGAAGAAATTTCCTAGAGAAATTTTAACTATGAATTTAATAATGATGCAGCATTTAGTATTGTAGCAAGAAAGAGGCAGATGGAAACAGAAGAACTTATGATTATATTGAAGGTTTGAGTTATCCTTTCTGTAAAGACTCACAATTAGGGCAATTCTTGCAGCTATTCACAGTGTGCTTTCTCTTCACCTCCCATTTGCTAATACCTAAAATTTTATAAGCTGTTTAAAAGCAAAAAGTTTCTCTACTTATTTCTGCTCAAATGTCTGGAATAAGCTCCTGAATTGCCTTATTTCTGTTTAGTGTGGGAAGGAGTCATGGATGGCAGGAGTAAAGCTGAAAAGCAATTTGAAACATGCTGCAATTTTTCAAAAACCAAAATCTGACATATTTCAGCAAAATGTATGTTTTTATTAAAGAGAATTACTTTTTTTTCCAGGAAAATTCTCACAAAATATTGCTTCAAATGAATACACTGATGTTTCATTTGTACTTTGAAAAAATGATGATAATTTTTGACAGATTTTTTTGTTAACGTTATTTGGTTACCACATCTAGTAAGCAGTTAGCTAATCGCTAACTGCTGACTAACCCTGTAAACCAGAAGGCCACAATGGCATCCTTATCCTCCAGCTCTCCCAGCAAAGAACCACATGCCTGTGTCTTATACACAAATGCGCTTAAATGTTCCATGTCTCCAGTTGACTTTACTGGTGCTTAGCACTGTTGAAATCAGTCCTCGCTATATTTTGTAGTGATTCTGGGGGTCTCAAAGGATGGCAAATGATGGAAAAGTTGTGCTGCAGCCTCCAGGATGGATGGGAGAGACCCCTTTTGCCATTTCAGTGCCACACAGGTATCACAGGATTAAGATTTCATTCATTCAGATAGATGAAATTGATGCTGTACAGCTGCCTTTTAGTGCATATAAAGCTACAAAGCACGAGCACCCATGACCTGAGCTTCAGAATCAGTCAGGACCTGAGAAGAAAACCAAAGGGGCAATGGAAATGCAGGCACGGGAGTGCTTAAGACAATGGTGCTTCGCTAGTGCATCTATCTTTTATGGGCATGTTGTGTTTTGTGAGAAGGGAAAAGCATGTTTCTCCAGATGTCACCAGGAATACCTCTTGACTTGAAGGAGCTTCAGAAAATACTGGCAGATGTTCATTTTCATGACAAACCTTTGCGATAATAGCTGGAAAACAAACACAGTTTAAGCAGATTAGCAACACATTTCCTCCGTAATGATATATCCTCATTTCTTCACCATGGGTCTTTATTCTAAGGATCTCAGAGTACTTAAAAAGGCTGCTAAATACCTGTTCCTATTTTGCATGTGGGGAGACTTCAGTTGCAGGGACAACAGATTTGTCCAAAGCAAGTGGAAAAACTGAGAACAACCTTCAATTCCCAATCCGGTGGCATGAGCACTTCTCCAGGTTGTCTCTATAGAGACTCAAATTTACATTCCTTTTCCCATGTTCCTGGTCCCCACTGCCTGGTCCCCATACACTGCAAGTGACTCCAGTCGGAAGCCCTTCTCCATGTCAGGTTGGGCACTTTTGCAGCAAGTCAAATGGCCATGCTGAGAGGAGAAGTTCAGGAAGTGGGATGTGATGTGAGCAATGCTCTTCAGCTCGGCAGTGTTATCAGCAGAGGTTTATGATTCAAAGTTTCCTATGCAAATTTCATTTACAATACTAAATTGTCAAGTTTTATTAGGCTGGTGCAGAGGTAATTAATTTTGATTGTTAACTGATAGACTCCTCTCTATCAAAAGACGGCAGCTGGGAACTGTGGCCACGGTTTCATATTTCCTCCAAATACATTTCCTGATTTGAACTGACAAATCCTTTACCAAATCCTGACTCCAGGTCAGATTTAGAAAATACAAAAAAACACAAAACCCAAGGAGTTGAGAGCTGATTTAGCTCACTGTCACATCCCAAGAGGTGATGGGCTCACACATGTGATCTGGCTCTTATGCATTGCTGAGCTCAGTAATAGACCACTAAGTTTTAAGGGAAAGGGTTTTTAAAAGAAACGGTGAGTTAAGAGAATGGCTGTGCACACAGCCAGGCATGCTGTAGAGAGGGAACCTAAGTGAAAGCCCAGTGTCAGATAGATGTCCTGTCTCCCCTGCATGGATCTGAGAGACATGACTGCACTCTCCATCCTTCTTCCCCTCACCTCTTACTGCTGCCGAATCACCACTGTGTGAGATGCTGACCAGTTTGCTCTCCTCATTGATATTTATGTCTTTAAGGTCCGTTTTGAAGGATTGTCTGGCAACGTTCAGTTTAATGAGAAGGGACGGAGGACAAACTACACCCTCCATGTGATTGAGATGAAACATGATGGGATCAGAAAGGTAAAGTAGAGAGCAACCTGAGATCCTGTGTCAGGCACCAGCCTGGTGTTCGAGTTACAGTGTGGTTAGGTCTCAACAGACATTTCTGTTCATGAAAGCTTGCATGTGGAGTCACCACGAGTGCATTCCCAGCTCTCTGCATAAGCAAAGCAAAGCACTAGGGAGAACTGATGGTATATTACTAAAAAAATTCAACATACAGAAGGGGTTATCAAGAGCAACAAGGGCATCTCAGCTGTGGGGCAGGGATTTCCAGGATAGTAAAAGCTTGTCCAGCTCAGCCTTGCTATTGGCAGGGCACATTGGCTCAGGCTCAGCTACACAAGTGTCTTTTTTTTGCTCTCCCACATTTCTTTTCCAAGGCAGAGCCAGGCAGAAGCTGTCTGCCCTAACCAGTATAGGTTAACCTTTTATGTTGACCTAATTCTGATCCCTTGAAGTGTCAAGAGCTTTACCACTAACCATGTCCTGAGAGCTACACATACATTTGTGCTGTTCTGGAGTCTTGATCCCTTTCTATATCCCAGGCACTTTGAAAAATCTGGCCTTGTTCAGGGATGCTGAGCCCTTGAAACACTAATCCTTTTGAAAATCTGACTCCATGTGCTTATGTCCCACTTTAGATACTACCTATTTGAAGAACAAAGAATAACTCAGTTTTTCTGTCTATAAAGGAGAGCTACTAAATATTTTGGAATGGGGCATTCACTGGAATCCCTCTGCACTCCCTTAGTCCCCTGAAAAATAAAATACTTGTTTGAAACTAAGAAAAACTGCAAATAGTGAAAGTTGCACATTTACAGCCCCTACCACCGTAGTTCATGCTTACACCTGAGAGCAGCCGATGTGAGATCAAAGCCCACCACAGTCAAGCGAAAAAAGGCAAATTTCTCATTAAGAAATAAAAAGGTGTCATTTTGAAGACATACAAAGTGGTCTTCCTCCTCTACATCGTATTTATAAGAGGACAAATGCAGTATTATGTCCAGTATGGGGCTCTGAACTTCAAGAAGTTGGCAATCTGGAGAGAGTCTAGAGGAGAAGAAACAGAATGGCTAAATGTCTTGATTTTGCTGTGTATTTACTGACAGAAATAATATTTGTTTGTAAGACATGTCCATCTCTGCCACAATGCATATTGTATCTTAGATCCACCAGGTTAGAGGTGCAAAACAAACCATATGTGTCTCCATTTATGTTGCCCTAGGGCAGAGCTTTGGAAGCTCTTTCCTCACTCTCCTTTCTTTTTGTCTGTGTAATGAAAAGAGGTGAGAAGCCTGTGTAGATTTTTTCTCCTGAGCTGTTATGATCTCTGATCTTCCATCAGCAGGCTCCTGGTTGTGCCCTGTGTTAACACCCTTTCCCATTTACTGTGATAAGGAATTCCTTTCACATGAGCAGAGCTCAGGCAACTGCATACTTGCATGAGGTGATGGAAAACCTCTTATAAAATCAAGCCCTCAAAGTGGATAACCTCAACAATGATCTTCCTAGTGACATTCAGTGACACTCTGCTTTACCTGTAAGCAGTGATAGATCAGCACAGCTTAACATGAGAGTTCTTCCCATTACAACTGTTCAGTTTATTCATACCCCCAAACTTTTTGACACTGGCTAGGTTTGGGGTTTTTTTCTCACTTGATTTTTTGTCCTGTTGTCTCAAGATGTCCTAAGAGTCAGTCCTATGTTCATGAAGGCTTTCAGCTTCAGGATAGCATTTTATCACCCTGTAGCACCTGGACATGCAGCAGGCATGCTTACCGTTAGAAAAATATTCAGAAGTCCCACAGGGGAAATGTGAACTCTTGGAGTAGGGATGGGGCAGGGAATTGCAATAATCCCCCAGTACTGTGTACCAATTGTTTTTACGTGCATACAAGCACTCTGCTACTGTAGCAGAATAATTAGCAGTGCCTGGTCCCCCCCGGCAAAAGACATCAATAATCAGGAGAGGAGATCTTTGGTTGGGTATGAACACACAGAGAGACCTGACCCTGCTTGGATGACCCTGTTATTGTATCTTGGTTAATATTACAAAGAGATATCAAAGAGATATCCTGGTTTTGTATTTGGCAGATTGGTTATTGGAATGAAGATGAGAAGCTGGTTCCAGCAGCCATAGATACTCAAAGCGGCAATGAGTCTACAAGCCTCCAGAACAGGACTTACATAGTCACAACTATCCTAGTAAGTGCTGTGACTTCTATCCCAGCTCTCCCCCATCTCCCTGATGTGCAGACTCCCTCTTCCCCCTCATGTGCCCTCCTTTGTACTATATCATTTTTATAATAGCAATAACAATAATAATCATAATAATAATAACAGCACTTACAGTTTCATGCCGGGTCCATAAAGGTATCTGAAAATTGTCGTGGCTAATTAAATAGGTATTAAAGAGCTCTCATGCTTAAGTGTAGAAAAGACAAAAGATTATGACAAGATAGTAGAGGCATCAGCATAGGTAAATTAGGAACATTATACCTGTGCTTTGTATTTAGCCTACAGAATGGGGGCTGTAATTCTGGGAAGAATAAGCTGTATTGTGCAGAAAGGCTGAATCATAGCTTTAAAAACAAATCTCCACTATAATCATGAAGGAATAATAAGTACCCCATAATGTATAGTATCGTGTATTGTGTCATTATATACGCTTACCCTGCAGAAACATGAAATTTTACTAACTTGTTTGTTGAATGCTTACTGTGAGTCTACAGAGAAGACACAATACCCAAACTGAGTTAAACATCTTTAGGGCTCTCTCCTGTCCAGCAGATTTGATACTGTCTGTGCCCACATAGGCAGACATGTCTTTAAACGTTCAGAGCTCAGATGCACTAAATATCCCTTGCAGAACTGCACGGACAGGTTTGTTACTCAAAACCCCTCAGCTACTCCGCTCCCCTCAGGTCCATCACTGCAGAAGCTGCACATAGATTCTGTATGAATAAACAGAAAATGCCACAATAAAAATCACACTTCATACCTTCTTAAATAAGCCCATTGTGTGTTGACTGTGCCTTTTGGTACAGGAACACAAAGCTAGAGCTTTGCAAGGGGACCAGAAGATACACACTGGGCTCTAGCCTGAGCCCCTGATGTGCACCTCTAGAAATGTGGAACGTGGCTTAATATTGGTCTTCTCTGTGCCAGGAAGACCCATATGTGATGCTCAAGAAGAACGCCAACCAGTTTGAAGGCAATGAGAGGTATGAAGGCTACTGCGTGGAGCTTGCTGCTGAGATCGCGAAGCATGTTGGCTACCACTACAGGCTGGAGATTGTCAGAGATGGGAAGTACGGAGCCCGGGACCCCGACACCAAAACATGGAATGGCATGGTGGGAGAACTTGTTTATGGGGTGAGTTTCCAACCTCGTCCATTGTCTTTAGCTCTTGGTACTTGAGAACACATCCAAGTCCTAGAGTAAAAAGGAGCCCTGCCTTCTGTCAGCCTGAGCTGTCTTGAGGACTGCAGCTCTGATAATGCAAATAATCAGCCCAAGTAAAACATTTTCATTTAGGGAGGGACAGCACATTTTGTGCCTATGGAAATGTTAAAATGTTTCCTTTCAACAGTTCTAAGATTCTTTTTGTTTCCATTTTCGGAAGAACAAGTATTGAAAGGTCAAACTTTCTCATGGGTAGAATCTCCAAATTTTACTCTTTTATATTTGTGTGATAATGGCAGGATGAAAGAAGGATAAGATTTCAAACACTTAGCATATGGCTGGTGAACAGTAGGACTATGCCATTTTCTGTCTAGCCACTCATTTCCATTATCTCAGATATACACCTGCACCCTAGACTTCTAAACTTGGTTCACTCTGGTAGTTTGCCTTCTGTGGTGTTTTAAGCCAGAGGGGTCTAATTTTCCCTTGTAG